AAAAGCCAGAAGTGGCGCTGTGGCTCAAGTGGTAGAGCGCTAGCCTTGAGCTGAAGAGCCGAGGGACAGCGCCCAGGCCCAGAGTTCAGGCCCCACGACCAGACCTCCCCCCCCCCCAAAAAAAAATACAGCTTTGGACTCTGCAGCGTGGGTAGTGTCTCTGCAGTGAACGGAGGAGGGCAGTGGGCTGTTGGACTCCATTGTCACCTGCGCGGAGTTTCCATCCCATCTTAAGTCCAGCAAGGGGGAGGGGTGGGGAGGAGGCCATCACCTCAGTCACATTAGATGCTGTGGGCTGACAGGACAAGGTGGAGGACGGACCTCCTTCCCGGGCTGCCTCCCAAGCCGGTGTGCACACTGGGCGCTCCCGCCACCAGCAACTCTCCTCGTGGCCTCGTGGCCACTGGCCTCTTGCTGCAGACACTCTCATTCACACCCCAGTGCCCGGCATTGTGGTGACCGCGTGACTGCCCAGCTCTCAGCCTCTCCTCCATCGTGACTATACCCGGCACCTCACCCACTCACGGGCCTCGCTGCCCTCCTGCCTCTTCTAATCCAGACTCTTCTTTAGGCTGCAAGCCCACGGGTCCTACAACTTGCTACAAGAGGAGGGCCTGGGGGCTGCGGCCAGCCACACTTTGTCAGCAGCCTTGTTTGGTGCAAGACTGTTTAAGAAGACAGGATTATTTGGGCAATTTCTAGGCAAAACCCCAGACCTAGGATCTTGTTCCCACTGTTGTGGCTATGACAGAGACATCTGGTGTCCACTACTGTCCAGAGAAGCAAGTCATGCAGGCTGATTGAATGTTTCAGCTGTTAACTACTATCTGCAGAGATGTTCTGCTCTATGCAGGCCAGGGTCCTGAGTAGCAAAGGTGTGGCCCACCATGAAATGGGCAAATTGGTACTGGACATAAAAAGCAGCCTTGAAAAGCACAGGGCAGTGAGGAGGTTTAAAAATGCAGCGGAGGGCTGGGAAGGTGGCTCAGTGGTAGAGTGCTTGCCTTGCATGTATGAGGCCCTGGGTTCGATTCCTCAGCACCACATAAGCAAAAAGAAAAAAA